GGTATTTCATATATAGAGGTATACCACTATAGGTATCCATGCCTATGTATGACTGTTATTATCATTAGAGCCACTAGCAATAACATTAACACTAACGTAGCAATAGTGTATTTTTATAATAATAATAATAATAATAATTGTGACAAATATAAAGAACACAATAAACAATAAAAATGTTTCTTGATTATATTATTATAAAATAAGTACTATCTCCTTCCTTTCCTAAAGCAACACACAGTTAATCCCTACCTCTCTCTTCCTCACTCTCTCTCTCTCTCTCACCTTCTATCCTGAAAGGCTTGTAATGTTTGCAAGTGAAGTGCTCGTGCCTCCATAGCCTGTGACTGTCTGCTGGTGTGAGTTGACATGTACAATGGCACATTCATAACCTACAATGTACATGTGCATAATGTATACTTTGAATTGACACTTCTCTAGTACCTTTACTTGTCCTGCATTAGTTAGTGATGGTAGTAATGCAGTGTCTGCTTGATCTTCATCCTATTGATTATAATAATGAAAGTTACATGTATATGTACATCTACATGCATAACAAAGACAATCTACATAAAGTATAACTAAAGTAATAATAATACATGTACACATAATAAAGTAATGATTAAACTTCAAAATTGTGTTATATTATAGTCAAAGTTGAAACTGAAGCCATACACGTATTCATAAATTATTGTTAAAATTCAAAAACCATAACCATGTACATGTATAGTACAAGTATTGTACTTGATGTTGGCATCTGTCACTGAATGTTGCTTCTGCTGTTTGTCTCTCATCAGATGTTACCATAACACCATCTAGTGATTGTAAAGAAGGCAGTTTGTATATCAGTAATGACCTGTGTTGCATCCTTCTGGAGATCTAAGAGAATATACATAAGTTTAATGCAGGAAAAGACAATCACATTACATGTACATGTACATGTATTTAACTTACAGGATTGCTAATAATTGATAATTCTATTAAATAAGAAAGACAGCCTAACTTCTCCAGTTCGCTATAATCCTAAAATTAAGCATAAAATTCCTTTCTAATACTCTCTCTCTGTCCCTCTCATTCTAACTTGTATCCTATTCATCCCTAGGTAAAGTCTCTCTAAATTCTTCACAGATTCAAAATGTGAGAGATCAGACAATCTATAGCATAGATACAGTCCATAACCTCAACCAGTTTAATGTATTGCATTACAGTATACCTGTTCTCTTCAAGGTGGAATTCTTTAAGAGTCACCAAATGTTGGAGTGAGTTTTCTTGCATGCACTTTATTTTATTTCGATCAAGGACTAGCTCAGTTAAATGATGGAGTCCATCCAATCCTTCAATACGACTGATCTCATTTCCTGCATGTATAAATGTACATGTAAAAGTCATAAGGATAATGGTCTTTCTCCATCTTCCTTACCTTGTAGAAAGAGAGCTCTTAGTCCAGGGAGTCTGTACAATTGCAAAGGCACTAGTGAGTTGATACCATTGTATGCTAAATGAAGGACTTGTAGGTTCTGCATTACAGGATCACCTCCTCCTCCTCCTCCTCCTCCTGATGATGTTGAAGAGGGTCCACTGCCAGTCGGTCTGATAAGGTACTCCACTCGATTGTGATTGAGACAAAGAACCTGAAAAATGAATAAAGAGAGAGAAAAATTAACATCAGGAGCATTTGCCAAAAAGTTCCTGGAGAATGTACATGTACATTAAGAAAGTTTGAGTCAGAGATGTAGAAATTGAGGAAATCAGTGTAAAAACTTAATGTATGCATACATGTATACTGTAGCTGGTTGAAGTTTAAAAATTACCTTTAATTTGCTTAGATGTATCAGGCCAGAGAAACTCGTGAGGGAATTGTGTTCAAGATTCAAACTGAGAGAAAAGAAACCAAAATATCATCACACACATCACACATGTACATTGTACATGTAAAAAAGCTTCCTCACCTAACTAGATTGTCAAGATTACTAACTGGAGAGAGGTCTACATGCTTTAGGCCACATTGAACAAAGTCCAATTTCTTTATTGCATTGAAGTCATTGCTGTGACACTTCTCATAAACCAAGTCTTGGGAGAGTCTAAAAGAAGAGACAAAGATTGATACAAGTGTAGATTGACCTTAAAATTGTACCTCCCACCAAGTTTCTCCTTCGCAAGCCCAATCTCTGTATTAGTCTGGAGTTGAGGATGGAAATAGAAAGAAAGAATAATTTATCATTATTATATATTTCTCCATTCATCCTTCCTTACCACTGCTCTTGCATCAATTGCTTTTATAGTTGGGAAGTGATAAATACAAAACAACCGATAATGAGCTGAATGACTAGCCAGTGGATTGCAAGTCAAATCTATTGCCACCAAATGAACCAAAGGCTACAATAGAGAGAGAGAGGGGAAGGAAAGAACAAGTAAATATATGCACATGTAAATGCTAGTTGTACCTTTAATGAAAATAATTGCCTAAGATTTTCCAAGTAATTATGACTAGCATAAAACTCTTGAAGTGAAGTTAGTGTCTAAAAAAAGTACAATAAATAAGTACATACATGTGTCAATACATTTACATTTATACTGTAAACAGTGTGCATCTGTAGTTCTCACTCTCTCTCTCTCTTACTTCAATGCCAGTGATGTCTCTGATGTAGTTTCTACTGATGTTAATGTAAGTTAGTTGAGGAAGAGGAGAGGAGGAGAGAGGTAGAGAGGTCAAGTGATTATTCTCTAGAGAGAGCCACCTCAGGTGAGGAAACCGATGAAGAGACAAACAGTTTTGAAGATAATTATCATCCAGTGTCAGCTCTTCTAGCTTATGACAAGATTCAATACCCTTGAATTATAACAAAAATTAAAAAAAATGACTAAAAATACATGTACACGTACATAACAGAAAAAACATGCTCTAATTTTAGAGAAGAAAACTTTAAGGAATTGCTAAAATTTTTGGCCATGAGTCATAAAGTATACAAAATTTTTAATAACATTCTTAGATGTGTACCTGTATATCAGTTAGTGCGTTGCCTCGGAAACACGCCCACTTGAGATTAACGAGTTGATCAAGACATGAAATTTGATGCACGTGCATATCAGTAAGATCAAGGGCTGTGATCTGATTGACCCATT